TCCACCCTGCCTCCACCCCTCTTAGGCCTTCACCTTCTAGTTAGACTGTTTCTGGTCTACCGTCTACAATTTTAAAAAAATACAATGTTTCAAGTGGCTATTCTCATTTTTCAAATAAAGTGCCACACTCTTTGTGCACATATAACTTGTGTTTATATTTGAATGGATGGAGGATAAGATGCTGGTTTTACCTTGAAATAAAACAAATGTTCTTTTTTCTTCTCATTTAGCTGCCAAAATGGTATATTATTTAGATCCTTCTAGTCAGAAGCGAGCTATAGAGTTGGCAACAACACTTGACGAATCCCTCAGTAACAGAAACCTCCAGGTAAAGAGTTTTTTATAACCTCTCTGTACGAGCACCTGACCACTTTTTGTTCCTGTTTTCATCCAGAGAACAACTGTCACAAATGATATTTTTTTTGTTATTTACGCATACTGTTCTTCAAACCATTATGATTCTGTGTCAGAAACTTACCTTATCTTAAATTTATGAGGATTGTGTGTTTGTGCACACATGCAGTCGAGCACTTGGCATTTAATAACTAGTTCAACACCTGTTACACTAGGTTTTTTTAGAAATATGTTGTAGTAAAATCATGTATACATTTCATGGTTAATTTTGGATTTTAATTCATATCTCACATTTCTGAGCAAGCTGTGGTCTCAGCGAAGATTCTGATATTTAAGGTGTATCTACCATGGGTTGAATTTAAGTACTCATTTTATAGCTTGTAATATAACAAGAGATTAAGTAGAGTGAAAGATAGTATGGATGTGTTGCAAAATACAGATTCTAGTTTAGACCAGAAACAGAAGGAAAGCTACCTTGTATGATGAGCAGCCAGATTTAAAAAAAAAAAGCATTTGCTGAAAGTTAAATTTTTTTTTTTTAATAGCAAGTGAAGGAAATATCTTTAAGGAAAAATTAGACTCGTTGGTTGCTAATTAATGCAGCATTTAGATCAGAGCTTTTCTAGACTCACAAAGTTTATAGGGATATATATCTGGAAATGACAGTGTTTTCCAAGTGAAAAGATGAAGAAAGAAAACATGAGAAATGCAAGTCAACACCAATCATTTAGAAATATAAGAAGCAGATGTACTTGGGGGCTTAGTTGGAAGAATTATCAATTTTCCTGAGTACTTGTGGGGTTTTTTGCATATGTGCCCTTTGCCTTTGAGACTCTCTTTCCTGGTTATTGGATATACCTTAAGGTTCTCTTTAGTTTGAATATAAGGTTGAAAAACAATGTTTGGTTCTCAGCCTCCAAAACAATTAAAAGGCTTAAGTGCAGTAATTGATGTGGGCATGCAAATTTTGACTTTTATATACAGGGCCAGTCTAGGCCGAGGTGAGGTTGTCACCTGGGATCCAGCACTTGCTGAAAGTGAGCGTCACTTTAAATGTAGTACCTTATACATCTTGTTTGCCTAACCTTAGTCCTGGCCCTGCTTAAACATTCATCCTTTGTATAAACCCTGCAATTCTGAAGAAACTCATTCTAATGGAATATATATGTGGGAGGAAATGTTTTGTTTATCTTAAGTTTGTACATTGGCCTCTTATTTCAGAAATCTTTTGATAACAAAATATCAGATTCACAGTAAAAACTTTTCTTTTGGACGAGCTATAACATGACCTTTTTTTTTCTTTAGACATGTATGGAGGTATTAGAAGCCTTGTGTGACGGTAGCCTAGGAGACTGTAAAGAAGCTGCTGAAGTTTATAGAGCAAATTGTCATAAGCTTTTCCCTTATGCTTTGGCTTTTATGCCTCCTGGATATGAAGAGGATATGAAGATCACAGTTAATGGAGATAGTTCTGCGGAAACTGAAGAACTGGCCAATGAAATTTGAACATCATTAAACAAGCAAATGGAATGACTTTGGACCATATCTAGTATATAATATTTTTGTCACGCACCTGCTGCATTGCTCTGACTTACACAGAACGAGAAGAGTAAATGTTTTTGCCTTCAAATAGTGTTTTACGTTTTTTTATCCTGCTGAAAAAGTATATATAAAATACCTAACATATTACAGGATATAGGTTCAGTTTCTTAAAAAAATTAAAAGCTGCTAAAATTGAGTGGTTAAAAAAGAATGCCTATCTTCTTCCTACCTACCCACCCATGTTTTTAAACTAATTTATATAAAATCTGGAGGCTGTTACAGCTAACAAAGCAGGTGTGTGGCAGAAATATTACTTTAAATTTGTCTTGTGAGATTTTACTATATCTCAGACAGCATAAATGCTGTTTTAGCACTGGATTCTTTCACTGAGCACAAAGAGTTGTTGGGGCTTTAGCATCTGACTGGTTTTGTTACGGGGTTGATTCTGGCCATAGGAAGTATGCAAATGTGAATCACTATTTACAGAGAAACCTACAACAGATGCTTGATGTTGTAGAAGCTGGGACAAATAGATACCAAGCAGGATTCTATGAAACCTAGAGAGGGTGTTCAAATACGCTTGTGTTTCCAAAATTCACTGTACATGATCAGTTTGGTGTTCTTGTACCACAGTTTTTAACTGAAGGAATCAGTTGGAACAATCTCAGTTATAACTAAAACTTGAAGAACTAAAATAACAATGCAGATCTTTTAGCATTGTTTTGGCCAAACTTGTTAAAACTGTAATGCAAGAACCAAATGCACTGTGATATGGCACCAATTAGCAAGCATGAATTTTTTCACCCCAGAGTGAAAAACGGAAATCTACCATGGCTTGAAGTTAAAGAGCAGAACTCCTGACTACCATTCTATGACTGATCAAGAGACTAATAGTTAAAAAACCTCAGCAGGCCTTGTTCACGATATGCAGAAAAAAAGTGCTGCAGTTTAGATACCTCTGGAATTTTTCCACAGTGTCACAGGTTTGTAATACTTGAAGCCCTACATTTCTAAGAATATATTTCTTGCTCAGTTGTTTCAGGCAAGCCCGAGACTTTGTAATTTTTAAAGGGCCCAAGATTTTTTTTTCAATAACAGACCAGCTTCTTTTTCCTGCAGTTACAGATGTAATTTCCTTTTTGTTGTCAAAATGAGGTACCAAATATAATGCAATAAATTGTTTTGAAAAACAGTTGTGTGAATATTTCAACTAATCTGTGTTGGGCTTCTGTGGAAATGTACAGGTGGAAACAGAGGTGCAAGCCAGAGGCGCTGTAGTGTGCTGGAAGGCTAGTGCAGACTGGAGCTCTGCAGAATGGTCTGGTGCTGGTGTCAGGGAGTTCCGCAGTGCAGGTGCAGGGCCTCTCCGGCAGAGACTTCACTGAGGGCTGGGATGGCCGCAGGCACTATGAATGTAATTTGTAATTCATAATTTGAAAGGAGAACTGAGCACTGTTATTTTGATTGAGAAAATGAGCCTTAAAATGTTAAACCTATACACTGAGAACTAGCCTCTGGCTCAAGGTTCTCACTGTATTTGCAGGATCTGAGCAAATAAGATTAAGTAAAATGAATCAATTGTATATGTAATTGACCTTTTGTGGTACTTTTATGAAGAGTATATTCTAAAGAGAATTTTCAGGAGACCTGATCCTTTTATGATTGGACAGTTGTGCTAAACTCAACCTTTCATAGTACATTCCTGCATTCCACATCCCAGTCTTTCAGCAATTGAGTGATGTAAAGAAAAGTACAAACTGAATTCCAGTGCTTTGTTATGTTTTATTAACTGGCCCTGTCTCAGGAACATCTTAACAGATGGCAAAAAAACACAAAACAAAACCCAACATTTTTTTCAGCTTCTCCTGTGAGTGGCAACTGAAGTTCTTACTGTTGGGAAAGAACACTAGTGCTACCTCTGCCACTAATGAGGTGTTTGGAGGAGGCACCAGCCATATGATAGAGGGTGTATGTGTGAATTATGTTTAAACTCTACTGTATATTGAAATGGAATTCATATATTTGTCTTGACAATGTTCAAATGATGTAGATTGTCTTAGAATGAATATTCATAAGTACTCAACTCTCGATGCAGATGCCACCAGTGAGGAGCTCATTTCCTAACACATATATTGTAATTCCAACTCAATTTTATTGGAACTATTGAATAAATATTTTATTTTCTTTCAGGTTTACTCAATAGTGGATACATTGTCTGGTGTCAGGGGACCTTGACAGGGTCCATTTTATGTCCAGACATCACCCCTAAAACATTGTACTGTACTCTTGCCCTGAGTAGTATCAACTGGGTCATCTCACATTTGCCTCATTCGTTCTATTAATTCCAAATGATACTGTGGGGGGGAAACAGGGTTAGAAAAACAAGTGGAAAAGAGAATGCAGTGATGTTGTAATCTAAACAAGTGCCTTATGTTTATTGCTAAGAACTGGTGTTATCAACCCTTTTTGAGAAGAAAGGGTCCCTTGACCTGTATTATCATAGGAAAGTAAAGTTCTTTTTGTTTTTCTTCATATTTACTACTCTTGTCATTTCTCATTTAAAAATTAAAGTCTGAGTAGGTTAGTTTACTCAACTTTAGATAGTTGAATCATACATTTTCAACATTTTTCTGTATTATGCACAAGAATAAAGTGTGATCTTTAATAGCATGACCATAAGTAGTCCCGGCATTAGTGAATAGCTTTTCCATGGGTTTTATCGGGCCCTGGGTTTTATCAGGCCCTTGTTTTTCATAGTGCTGTTTGTCCTCCATGGTGTGTTGCTGTTAGAGCTGTGAAATGAAAGCTGTGATTATTAGAAGAGACCAGGGAAATGTGGTCTAGATTCAGGTAGGTTGTGATAAATTCAGGGAAGTCTCACTTCTGCACAATTTCTAGGAATATTCTAGTTGCCACGTATAGCATCTGTTTAGAAAAAAATAACAAGTGAAGTGTTGGATTTTCTTACAAGATACGTATATACTTGTCTTAGTAATTACCAGCCTTAAATTCTGAAATTACTTAAGAGAATTCCAAGAAAGACTGACCTTTCAGATGGAAGGTTGTCTTCTCGTTCTGGCTCATGCTCCTCTTCTTTAAGTTACGGATAGGGTTTCTGACCATTCTGCTAGACCTAACTTTGCCGAATCCACTGCCAAAACAAAGTGTTAGGAAATGGCTACATTGCACCATAGGGAGCTGAAACCTTAAGGTTTTGATGGTTGGAAATCTCACAATTTGTAGCAATAAAACATTTTGGAAAAGGTTATCCTTTATTGAATTGCACTTTCACCTTTCAGTATGCATCCTACAAGAGGAATAAAGTATTGGTAGTGTGGAGGAGGTTGTGAAGAGAAGAATGCTCCTGCAGAAGACTCTCACATGCTCTAGATTATACAGCCTATTTAACACTGCTACCTCCATAGAGGGACATACTCCTCTTATGATATAGTAATGGGCAGAAGGAAAGGGAGCAGCATGTTGTAGGAAAGAGGGTTTAAAGGTTTCCAGCCTCTCAGTTTATCCACTTGCCTTTGAAGTGATGCCATCTTGGGATTGTAGCAAGAAAGAAAAAAATGGTACTATTTAAATTAGAACTTTACTAAATTATCAACTATAGGCAAGCTTGGCATCTTAATCTTTAGTGCTCTTTATAGAGTTCTATGTGCCAAAAACAATATAGGCTTTGTTTCAAGGCTCTTGCAGCAAAAGAAAAGTTGATACTTGGCGCTCTAACAAAACTAGTGTACTTCTCACATTTTTTATATCAGGCTTTTCTTTGTGTCTCCTTTAAGGGTCTATTTCATACAAGTGGTATAACTTCCTAATTGAAAACAAATTGGTGATGAATAATGATGGAAATTTTTTTATCTGTTATACAAAGATTTTTCTGTTGCTGAATCTCCAGCTAGGCCTCAATAACAATAGGAGTAAAGAGAATTTTGGAATATGTTCTGGATCCCATGGTTTGCTTTGAGCCAATCATTACACTTGACTAATCACAACTATGGTTTCCTAACACTGGGTTTTTGTAAACTTGCCACTAGTTTACTTTGCTCTGAAGTTTACTAGGTCCATTTTCTAGTGCTTGATGTCTCATTGTAAGTGGGATAGGACCTGGGTTTTTTAGTGTTCTCTCAGAACTCTGGTGTTTCTTCCTTAGTGATTAATAACTAAATTAGCTACCACCTCTCATCTTTTGAACTACCTTTTGGCCTTCAAGTAGTCACTCTGCTGTTTGATTGCTTTCTAAATGAAAAGGGGGCCATTTATAACAGACCTGTCTCCCAGATCCTTTTAAGTTCTGAACTATGGAATACTAAATACTAATTCCTCCCTTTATTAACAGTAAAAAAAATTACTATGCATTAATAACAGTAATGGAAGTATTCAGAAACACATTGAGCTAGCATTATTACACTGTTTACATTATTTGTTCAGATGTTCATTGAAAAGGACCGAAGAATAAGCCAATTGCTTCACTTGTAATTTTTTTTATAACTTAAAAGTTTTATTTCAAGAGCCTACTTGTTACTTCAAGCATTCAGTTTCACAGCATTTTTCTGAGAAATGTCTATAATATGAAGTTAAATGTTTAATGCTTTGGTTCAGACTCATGTAAATCCATTTCTAATGTGATGTATGAAATTTTCAGGATTTACACTGGGTACATTTTAGTATAAAGGTATAGTGACTAGGAAAATACATAGTGGATATTCAAATTCTTGTTAAACTTGCTGTAAATATTAATATTGCTCTACAGATTGTAGAAAATAGCAATAAAGTACTATTAACTTTCAGGTCACCCGCAAAGGCTCACAGATTTTTTACCCCTTCCCTGTTGATCTGAAGTATTCCCATTCCTCTTCCCCTTGCCCCTCTCTATTGGGCTTCAGGAATTTCCTCAAAAGAACACAGATCCAGTATATTTTATGTCAAATGGATTTCTCATATCTAAATGGATTTCTCATACCTAACTTTTGTGTTTTTTCCCCCCCTATAGTTTGTCAGGAATGGTTGTGACTGGCCTTGTAGGAAGCAGATGACTGGAAGACCACCCTCTAACTTTTCTCAGTTGCCTTTCATTGTGGCATTAGTTGGCAGTGAATCTATCCATCCTTCATGTCTTTAGCAACCAACCACCCAGGTAACATGTCCAATGGAATTAAGTTACTACAAAGATTGTCACTCAGTAGTTGTTTCTCATCTTTCAAACAGTATGAGGAGACTGGTACACACTAACTACCTGAAGGGCTCTGTTTTCTACAGCCTAGTATCCCTTTTAATCATGACAAGAAAGGGGACATTAGGTAAGGATCGGCAATGGTTACTTCTAGACATGACCTACAGCCAGTGTTCATCACTAGTCGCAGTGCTGCACCATTGGTCTCTATTTAAGATAGATAACTGAATCCTTTTAAGTCAAAGACTTAACCCTGGTTGTGTGTTAGAATCCCAGGGGAACTATTCTAAAAACACACAACCTCAATGCCCAGGCCCACCTGCAAGTTCTGATTTAAATGATTTGGAGTCAGGTTCTTTTTTTTTTTTTTTTAAAGACTACCCCAGTGACTCTAAGGTGCATCCAAAATTGAGAACCTGTGTGTTTGCTAAGGAAGAAGTTTAAAATGTTTTCTAGTATTGGATTTTTTTCCTCAAAGAGATCAAAGAAGCAAGCAAACATATACATGCAAAAAGTAACTTTCCCCCATTTTATATTAAGGGGAAGAACTTGTATTTGAATTCTCTGTCAAAATATAAGTTCTGGTTAGTTTTAAATTCCATGCTTTTCCCTATGTAAATCGCCTCTTCACGGTTTTGTTAGATGTCATGGTAACTTGTGTCCATTGAAGCAACTGTTGAAATATAATTGCTGGCGGTAGGTGCTTGAGTTTTTGAGTGGATGAATACCGAAGCAGTCAGCGGGCTTTTAAAGGATGGGTGGTAGATACTACTCCCTGAAGGGCCATAGGCACCCAACCCCCAATGAAATTCATATTTTTCTCTCCTTGAAGGACTGCATTTTTTTGTAAACAAGTGAATTACTGTTACAAATCTCAGATGTGGAAGGAACTGTGATTCTAGGACCAACAATTTCAATGTTGGCCTGTTGGTGTAGAACCTGAAAAGGAGGCTTACATGCTACACAATCATGTATCGAACTAAAACCTGCCTTAGGAGCTCTATTGAAATACCATTCTGGTTAGATGTCCCAAATCTACCCAACCTATTATTTTTCTTTGGTAAAATAGGTTTTTTTTATAGACCACCCCTCAATTCTGTCTAGTTTATTCCTGACTGAATAAAGGAGTTGATAAATGACCCTGGTAGTATTGACACTGTTCACCATTCCTGAGTTGACAGGACATGGATGGTTTTCCCTCACCTTTGCAAACTGGGAGGTTTCAAGTGTTTTAGTGTCTTCACATAGATTTGCCTTATGCTTTCATTACTTTTCTCTCATCCTTGTGACTAAATCACATTTCTGGTATAAACCTGTGGCTTGATGTACAACAATAGTATGATGTAGTTTAAAACATAAGCTTTTAAGTAAAAATAGAACTAGGTTTAAATCTGGCTCAGATCCCTTAGGCCTGAGAATTTCTTGTTCATATAATTGTTAGAAGGATTTAGTAACATATGGCATATGAAGTGATTACCACAAGCATTCACTATAAATACTTGTTATAAATGGTAAGCATTCACCGTGTTTTTACAAAAGGGTATTCTTTTCTGTTTGTCAGTATTCTACTTATTTTTCTGTCTATTGCAGTACCTTGGGCGAGCATATTCAGGAAATATGTAGCTTATAATCTTTTCCTAGGTACCAACAACTCAACATTTGAATTCTCCCCTAGTATTGTACTTAACATGTGCTTATACCACTTTGCCTTTTCACACATTAGAGGAAACCACCTGTAATCCTGCCATCCTCCATCATCATCTTGACATTCATGGAAGCTTACTGATGTTAGTGGACTTGCGGATTTGTCTCTGCTGTTTAAAATTATTGAGAAGATGTGAAATAAGGCCAGTCCCAGTGTCCCTCCTTCTTTCTATCAATCTAGTAGTTACCGAATGCCTACTACCTCCAGTAACTATGCTTCACATTGGGATATATGACATACATAGTCTGCTCTCACATTTTTTGCAGGCTGGAAAGGAGACAGACAAATCAAGAAATGACGGTAACAGCAATATATAAACCCCTAGGAGTCAGTACTCATTTCTTTCTCGATGTACGAGGAAAAGACAATGTTCACTTAAGTTGGGAAAGATAAAGATGAGTTTCCTAGAAGACAAAAGATACTATGTGCCTGAAGGCATAGACATGAAACAAGATGGAATATTCAGGGACTTTATGTAAAACAGAGTGAGTAGAATCTGGGAATGAGGCTGGGGCTCAGATTAAAGAGACTTAGATGATTTACTTACTAAAAGTCTGGATTTGGCTTTGTGTAAGCAAAGGACAGTTATTGGAGAATTAGGGAAGGATGATTAAGTGAGAGAACTGTGTTACTAAAGTGATGGGAAGAGGAATGGGGAGCAAGACTGGAGGTGCCAAGACTAATTAGAGACTCAAGTTGAGCTGATGAATAATAACTATAACTCACTGAGCTCTTAATACGTGCCAGACAGTGTAGTAAGCATTTTGCATCCGTTAGCTCATTTAATCCTTTAAAAAACCATATGAGGCAAGTACCACTCCCATTTCACAGAACACTTGAGGATCATAATTGGCCCATGGTCACACAGCTTGTAAGTGATGAAAACGTGCATTCAAGCCCAGTTGTGTCTGACTCCAGGGTGCTTGCTTCTTATCAACATAACCTGCAAGCGGTAAGGACAACAGTAGTAAGTATGGAAAGGAGCAAGATACACATGAGAGAGTAAGAAGCTGGGACCTACATCAGCTGACTGTGTTGGAAGGAAGTGGAACAGCGAACGGAGAAGGAAAAGTTAGTGATGTCCAGGGTTTTGGCATAAAATATTGTTTTTGACAGTATCATTAAACAGTAAGAATATAGAAGAAGAAATTGAGGGAAAAAGTGAGATCCTTTTCAGACATGGATTTTAGGTGCTTAATGGGACATGTAAGCCCCATTAAGATGTTTAGTTGGCAGATAGGGATGAGTGTGAAACCTAGAATACAGGTAATTGAAGAGTGAGTTGTGAGTGGAGTGTGTGGCCTGGACAAGACTGCTCAAAAAGGATGAGCAAAGATGACATAAATGCCAACAGAAGCAGGTAGAAGAGAAGCTAACCAGAGAGACCAAGAAATAGTCAAAAAGTAGAAGATAACAATATTGAGGAATCAAAGTTTTTCAAAGATTGGGGTCAACAGGGTCAAACTCAAGATCCTATAATTCACTATCTATTTGGTAACATTTTACAAGTCTGAATATCAATTGTTGGCAATGATGAAAACCAACAGGAAATTTCAGGCACTGGGGTCACTATAAAGGAAATTGGCAATATTCATTCATTTACTAAAATTAAACATGCATATCTTATGAACTAACAATTCCACCCTGTAAACATTCCTACACATTTGCCAGAGAGATGTGTCAGAATGTTTATCACAGTACTGTTTATAATAATGAAATCTGGAAATAAAATGTAACATGAAAATGGATGAATTATGCCATATTCATTTAATGGAATGCTGTACAGTTGAAGAAGCTAGCATTAAGTGAATCAAGAATTACCCTCCAAAACAGTAATCTAAAAAAAAGTAAGTTAGATGGCATCATACTGTATATCTTGTATGTAAATTTAAAAATAATTTAAAACAATACTAAGTATGGTTTATGGATATATTCATGTAAAGTAAAAGTTTAAAAACAGGCTTGGGAGTTCTAAACAAAATTCAGGACAATGGTTCTCTTTAGAGAAGGGAGAAGCATGTAGGTGGCCTATAATTTTTATTTCTTAAAAAACATGGTTGAGGTAATGTGGTAGTGTTAAGATTTGGTGTTTTTGTTAATGTTGGGTCTATATGGGATACTTTTCCAAAAAGTGAGTGGACAAAAATACTGGTTAATACTAATTCACTCAGAAACTATCTACAATTGAAACAAGTGCTACTTAGTTTTTTATACTTTCCCAAAAGGTCAAGGGTACTTTTACTGATTTATGGAGAATGAGAAAATGAAAAGCAGGAGGGAGAGTACCAGAATGTGTAACATCAGTTTTCAGGAGGAAAGGAGGCTCCAATAATATCTAAAGCATTTTCTACCATTTATAATTTCCATAGTGCTCACATGTAAGTTATTATTTCCCTTCTTTACAGATGAAGATGTGTGTCTCAGAGTCTTAAATGACTTGCTAGTTTATTAGATTTTGCAATTAGGAAGGTCTTCATCAAATTAGTGGTAGAGAGCCAGGTCAAAGAACCAGTGTGTACCCTTTCCTGTGTTGCTCCTCCCATTATCAGCTGGGTGTTCAGGGTCACTGAACTGTAGACATTAGAGCAGGAACTTGAACCCAGGTTTTTCCTTTCAAGGCACTCTAACCTATGCTTTGTTCCTGGATCCCTGGATCCTGTTATTCTTCCTAGAGAGCTATTACTGAAGTTAAATGCTATTACTGAAGTTAAATGTGCTATTTACAACTTCCTTAGAAGAAAAAATTGTTGAAATAAAGGGTATTTTATAAACAATGTGTTTTTACATTATTTGTTTATCCCTTCTTAATTATTCAATATACTTTATGCTGACACTGCTTTGTGTTTCAAATTTATCTTTCTTCTCCCCAAAACCTCCTGCTAATGCTGGCATTTGGACTTTTACATTGGGGAAGTGGATCTTCAAGATGGTGAAGATAAGTCTCTAAGATCATTTACCAATTCTGTGTGTTAGAAACTACCATCCCCATGTCCCAGAAATGGAAGACAATGTCCTGCAAGATAAACCATTCCAGTGGAAGAGATGCCAGCTGTAAAGTGGCCAAGAGGTGTATGTTATAGATGTATTATTAGAGATGGCCAGGCAATCTTGCTCAAGTATTATAATTAGAAACCAAGAAAATAGGGTCTATCTCTACTTAGCTTTCACCCCAACTACACTATTATTATATGCTTCAGGCCAAAGAGTGACTCCTGAGTAAAATGAGGGACAATAGTACTATTACTGAAAACTATTACAAACTCACAAACTCTAATGTTCATTAGATTTTGCTTTAAACCGTGAAATTTAAAAATGAAAACACTTTTTAAAATTTACCCACTTTTAAAAAGTCCATTCTTCCCAACAGTAGAATCTCCTTCAACTATCAAACCTTGACATTCTAGCAGGTTATTCAATTAAGTAACATATACTATAGTCACATGACGAGTGTCTCAAACTAAAGCTGAAAATACAAAACTCATAACCAACTATGACCAGTGTCTACAGTGATTTTTCCATAAGCAGTGCTGAACTGTTTATAATTGGTAAATTGTAACTGTTTATAATTTCCTTGCACAAGAAATTTCTCACTTCACTGATTTATTCATCATTTCCTGAATAACAATGAGTTTTCGGTCCATAGTCCAGAGTGGACAATCCAGTTGGGAAAATGCAACACATCATCATGAAACTTAAACAGTGGAAACAGCATTCAAAGACCACATGAGCATGGATCAGACTAACAAATCTCAGAGGGAAGGTGGGGGTGGGTGTCGAGAGATTAACCAAAGAATTTATAGCATATATGCATAACCCATGGACACAGACAATAGCGTGGTGAAAGCCTGGGGAGGGGAGTGGGTGCGGGGACAATGAGGAAAAAAGGGAGACATCTGTAATATTTTGAACAATAAAAAAAAGTGTGTTAGAATAAAGCAAAGAACATTCTGAGCTGAACTAAACAAACAAAAATTCACAGAAATGAGACTTGAGTAAGGATGTGAAATATGAATAGGATTTGCATAAACAGACAAGATAAAGAATTTCTGATGTGGTTAAGCAAGAGCTAAACCAAAAAAGCCAGAATACAAAAACAAAGAGCAGGAGTCCTGGGGGTGCAAAGATGTTCGATGCCTTTTTCAGCATCTCTGAAATTACATGATTATCCACATCTCTGAATTCTTCAACTGCTTTTTGCCCTAAATCTTCAGATTCTCTCCTCTGAATGAGATATAGGTAGAAGTAAATTAGAGGAATATATTCTAAGGCTCTGTAATAGTTTCTGGGATAAATAATCTTCATGAAAATAACTTCACAATGAGAATTTCCCAGCACACGTTCCAATTCCTGTAACTGGAAACAACAAATGTAATTGGCACACACGTTCAACCAGGTGAGTCAACTTTTTCCCCCTGGCTAATATAAAGTAATATAACTTGGTATATTAGTGACTGTATAAAGTTTTTCTGCTGCAAATTACTGTATATAAGGCTTTGTAAATTCCTGTTAACTTCGGGCATGCTCAGGTTCTATTACTAATTTGCTCAAACTACAATTTCATTTTATCTAATGGAATAAGCAGTTTATCTCCTTTCCTGGAACTTAGTGGTCTATCATTCCCGGCACTCTTATTTAAGACCTGCCATGTCCTCCTCTCCACTGTCCTTGACTTTTTTTTTTTTAAGGTATCTTTATTGATTTCAGGGAGAGGAAGTGAGAGGGAGAGAGAGTCATCGATGAGAGAGTCATCACTGGTCGGCTGCCCCAAACGGGAATGGAGCCCACAGCCCGGGCATGTGCCCTGCCGGGGAATCCAACCGCGACCCCCTGGATGCTAGGGCGATGCTCAACCGCTGGACCCCGGGCGGGGCTGTCCTTGACTTTCAAAACGGCATAAGCATTTGCCCAAACAGGAAAAATAAGATAGTCTTGCCATTGCAAAACAAAACAGCTTTTCACAAAAAGTAACGTTTGCACACATTGTGAACCTTTTGTATGACAATGTATGGTAGGTTTCCTCTGAAGACTTCAAGGTAACCCACAGAAAACTCTATAAGGCTGGGTGCTCTTGTCTATTCGGTCAGTTTGCCAAAGACAACATCTGCGCGCGCTTAGTAATATTTAATGGCGACATCATCCTCACCCAGGCGTTAGACATAAATAGGGCATAACGGGTTTTATTCTCATCAGAAAGGCCGTCTAGCAGCAACTCCTCGGTTCGATGCTCACATGTTACCTACTCTACTTAGACCGGGGGCATTAGCCAAACGAGTGCCGGGCACCAGGGTCCCGCGGATACAGCGGACGCGGTGGGCGGCCTCGAACTCCCGCCCGCGGCCCGACCACGAGGTGCCTGCCACGCCTGAAGGCTGCCCCGTCCGCGCGGCCCGCAGCTCGCCCCGGGGCTTCCGGCGCCG